AGATCCTCTGGAGCAGAAGTTACAGGTGTTTGTGAGCCACTGGACATGGGTGCTGGGATTTGACCCCTAGTCTTCTGGAAGCAAACATTTTTAAGTGCTGACCCACAACTCTACCCCTGTAAGATTATCTCTAAAAACATCTACTAGAGGGGTTGGAGAGATGGCTCAGTGGTTAAGAGCACTGGTTACTCTTTCAGAGGAAACCAGGTTCTATTCCCATGGCAGCTCACAAGCAACCATGACTCCAGGCCTAGGCAATCCATCTGTTTTTTGTTTTTTTTCTGGGCTCACAGGTACCAGGCATGTATGTGGTGCAGACAGACAGACACCCAGTCAAAAAATCCATACACATAAAATAAAATGAATAATTAATTAATTTGTGTGGGGTTTTATTGTGTGGGGTTTTATTGTTTTGTTTTGTTTTGTTTTTGTTTTTTTTGTTTTTTTGGGTTTTTTTTTTTTTTGGTTTTTTTGAGACAGGGTTTCTCTGTGTAACAGGCCTGGCTGACTTGGAACTCACTTTGTAGACCAGGCTGGCCTCAAACTCACAGAGATCTGCCTGCCTCTGCCTCCCAAGTACTGGGATTAAAGGCTTGTACCACCCGCACCAGGCTGGGTTTTTTGTTTTTTTGATTGTTTGATTGGTTGGTTTTTGTTTTTTAGACAGGGTCTATGTAGCTCTGATTGTCCTAGAACTCTCTATGTAGACCTGCCTCTCAGGGATCTGCCTGCTTCTGCCCCTGAGTTTTAGGCTTAAAGGCATGCACCCCTATGCCCAGTTTTGAATTTAAAAAAATAGTAGGGCTGGGAAGATGGCTCTGTAGAGAAAGCAGTTACTGTGTAAGCATGAGAACCATAGTTCAGATTCCGGGGACCCATGTAAAGAGCTGGGCAGGCACAGTGGCCCACCTGTGATCCCATCTGAGAAGACATCCCACATTGTGATGCCCTCTCCAGAGCAAGCTGACTACTTAGACTAGCCAAAATTGGCAAGCTCTGGGTTAAGTCAGAGTCCCTGCCTTGGTAAATAAAGTAGAGAACAATCAAATAAGATACTCAATATCAATCTCTGGTCTCCACACATGTATACACGTGCATGTTCACTTCCCATGTATATACCCACGCACATGTAAAAAGGCATACTCACATGTACACCACATACACATATGCAAAATATTTTTTTAAAACTATCAGACAAATGTCAGTAATATACCTTACTCATGGGTAGGAAGATCACAGGTTAGAGGTCACCCTGGGCTACACAGTGAGACTATCTCAAAAACAAAAACAAAACAAACAAACAAAAAAAACCCAACAAAACCACAAACCAATAAAAAGCCCAAATAACAAAACCCCAACATTCAATCAATGTAATCTACCATATCCATCAAGCTAAGGAAGAAAAATTATATGATCATATATTTAACAAAATTCAGCATTAATTTATGGTAAAAAAAAAAAACTTTTCAGCAAACTATGAATAGATGGGTATGTTCGGAACTTGATAAAGAACATCTCCCAAAACTTTGGTAGTAACACATTTACTGGTGAAAGATGTAATGTTTCTCCCTAAGATCTATCCCAACAAAGGTTGTCTACTCTTATCACTCTCATTCAACATAATTCAAATGCTGCCTTCAGTGAAATCAGGCAAGAAAAGGAATAAAAATAATATGATTGGGAAGGAGTTAAAACCATCTCCACTCCTAAACAACACAAGTTTCTTTCTTTCTTTTAAATTACATTTATTCATTTCCGGCCATCAGGCTTGGTAGCAAGTGCCTTTATTCACCGAGCCATCTTACAAGCCCAATAACATAATTTTTTACATAGAAATTTCCAAAGTACCTGCCAAAAGACTCATAAAACCAATAATTGGGTTCAGTGTGCCACAAGATATTAAGATCAACGCACAAACATCAATTGCATTTCTCTGCTATACTGACAGTGAACAATTAGTGTGTGCCTGGAATTTAAAACACATTACCAGTTACAACCATGACAAAGGAAATGAAGTACTTAGGTACACACTTAACATACTGTACATAGGATCTATATGCTATAAAATTCCACAATGCCAATGAAGAAGTCAAAGAAGATTACAACTAAATGGAGAGATGGAAATTATCATGTAAAGGATTAGAAGTTGGGAAGCTGTCAGTTCTTCCCAAACTGATATATAGGTTTGATGCAATTCCTCTAACAATTACATCAAGGTTTTTATAAATACAAATAAATCCATTACAAAATTTACATGAAAAGACAAATTACCAGCCAAGTGTGGTGGCACACACCTTTAATCCCAGTACTCAGGAGGCAGAGGCAGGCAGATCTCAGTGAGTTCAAGGCTGGCCTGGTCTACAAAGTGAGTTCCAGGACAGTCAGAGATACATAGTAAGACTTTGTCTTAAAACCCACAAACAAACAAACAAAAAACAAAGACAAGATAACTTGGATAGTCAGAACAATTTGGAAGAATAAAGTGAGAAGGATTGCTCTATCCACTTGTTCTATAGCTATCACAATTGAGACTAGTATTCACAGGAGAGACACATAGATTAATAGAATACAAAAGAGCCAAGAAATGGCCCCATACAGATGGCCCAATTGATTTTGACAGAGGTATAAAAGCAATTTAATGAAGCAAAGACAGTCATTAGAATCTCTATCTTAGGTCCAAGTTTATAACAAAAATTAATTCAAAGTGAAACACTGACTAAAAACATAAAACTATAACACTTTCTAGAGGAAACAAGAGAGAAGGCAAATGGGACCAGGTGAAGATTTTTTAGACCTGACACCAAAAGCACTATGTATAAGTGCAAAACTCGATAAACTGGCTCTCTTTGAAAATAGTTTGCGAAATCTCATGTTAAACAAATGAAAGATCAGCTGAAGAACGGGAAAACTATTTTCTGATCATATCCATATCTGACAGAGGACTTGTATTCAGAATATATAAATAACTCTCCAAATTTAATAGTAAGAAATAATCCAATTAGAAAATATCCAAAAGACATAAGCAGACACATCACCAAAGAGATGGCAACTAGAGACATGAAGGAAGTCCAGCATCATCGGTCACTAGGGAAAGTCAATTTAAAATGAGCTATCACCACAGAATGGCTAAAACAGAAATAGTGACTATTTCTAACAAATACTAAGAGTAAAGAAACTGATCTTTTATGTATGGCAGTTAGGAAAACAAGATGGTACAGCTAGTCTGAAAAAAATGTTTCTTATAACACTAAGCACACACTTAGCATCTGACCATCCATGGCATAAAAAAATGAAACTGTTTTCACAAAAACCTCTATAAGACTGTTTACAGCACTTTTATTCTTTTTTTAAAAATGTATTACACCTATTTGTGTGTGTGTGTCCTATGTGTGGAGGTCAGAGGACAGTTTTCAAGACTCAGGGGGTTCTTTCTTTTCGACTTTTTGATACCAGGGATCAAAATGAGGTCATCAGACATAGTCGCTAGTGCTTTTACCTACTGAGCCATCTCCATGGCCCAGCAGTTTTATTCTTAACAGGCAAAGTTGGAAACAGTCCAAATGTCCTTCAATGGACGAACTGTTAAACTGTGGTATATCCACACTGTAGATTATCATTCAGCAATAAAAACAGTGATAGATGTTAAAGAAATTATTCTGAGTGAAAAAACCCGACATGTTTCAAAATGTATGATTCCATTTATATAATATGCTTGAAATGACAAAATTATAGGGATGGTGTGGTGAACATGTTAGGAGTTGCCAGGAATTATTTTAGGAAAAGGAGGCGACTGATGATGAAGGATTCCAGGGGGAATCTTTGAGATAGTTGTGTTGGTCACAGAAATCTACACAGGTGATAAAATTGTGTAGACCTTACGTATTCACATTCAGAAATGGATGCTTGTTAAGTTGATGAAATCTGAATGAGCTCTGTGGATTGGACTGGTGTTACTATCTTGCTTTTAATATAGTTATGTAAGATTACTATTGGGAGAAAACTGAGAGGTACTTACAGGGGTTCATGAGACCCCTCTAATATTTTTGCATCTTCCTGTGGAGTTTTATTTTAAAATAAATCAAGTAAAACAGTAAATGTGAAGGACTATGAATATTTTACCATGCATAGATTTACATATAATGAAGTAGAAAGTATGAAAAATAGACAAAATACAAGAGTCCACATTAATGTTATCCTAGTGAAAATGATTACATGAGTTTATTATAATTGTGAATGATGTATTTTCAGTTCTAGAAAGGTAAATAAAAAGTTGCTTGCAAACTTCTATATTTGTCAGAATTCAAAGGGCCAGAACCATTAGTAAATTATATTCACCTATTTTATATATTATTAATATACATAATTTCCCACTTATTCATACAAAGCTAATATCTTCTATAACTGTGATATTGGCTAAACAAAAAAAATCTGCAAAGCAGGCGATCAGGGGCATAGACCAAAGCAAGTATCCATGGGTGAAGTTTTTAAACTCTCCATCCAATCCTCTCTCTCAGGAAAAACTCAGCCCTTGTTTAAAGGCTTTTCCAAATAATTCTGATGGGCCACCTACAATAACCAAGAAAATGACCCCTACTTTTAAGTCAATCAGCCTTTATATTACCAAAATACCTCCACAGCAACACCTGTATGAAGGTCTGAATAACTGGGAGCTGTAAGCTAACTAAATAGATATCAGAATACAGAAAAAGAAGCCTCACACCATAAAGCATGTTTGCTTACAACTGGATAAATGTGTTGTCAATTGTCTCCTTGCGTTTATTATTTTTCCATACTTCAAGCAGAAATGACAGAAATCAATGGTGGTCACCGAGTTTTTATACAAATTGCACTTGTAGAACTTTAGTTGGAGCAGGGGCTTGAAATGCTCCGTCTGGATTGTGATAGAGCAGGAGCCAGTGCACCTCGCCCTTTCTAGCTCCTAACGGGGCTGGGACTCCTCAGGGCAGCAGCGCGCGCAGCAGGAGGGGAGGAGAACCCACCTGAAGCATTGCGCCGCGCGTGCGGGAGCCCGAAGTGGGCGGAGCCTCGAAGCCGGTGGCGTTGGCGACGGCGCCCAGCCCGCCAGAAGAGCGCGCGGCGAGCAGACGGCGGGGAGTCGGTCGGGTAGGGCGAGCGCAGCCGGCGGGGGGGGGGGGAGTGGCGGTGGTGAGGAAGGAAAGGGAAGAGGCGGAGCGTGGGAGCGCACAGTGTCAGGAATACAATAGTGCTCCGCGCCTCCTCGGCCGCCGCCGCCCAGCAGCCTGCCCAGGGCTGAGGCCTGACAGGCCAGGCGGCCAGGGCGGAGGGCGGGAGCAGAGCGCTAGGGGGCGGCCCCCGTGGCTCCTCGGGAGGCCCGGGGCGGGAGGGCGGGGCGAGGAGGAGATTAGGGGGCAGGTGCGAGGGAGGGAAGAGAAGAAAGCGGGCGGCTAGGGGGCGGTTACCACCCTAGCTGGACTCGCCCGGCACGTTGAGGGGGCCCCAGTGTGCGGCAGGAAAGGAGCGGAGCCCGAAGCAGCGCCGAAGGTAGGCGCTCTCGAGGGTAGCTGCAGTAGCAGCAGCGAGGTTGTGGGCGTAGTGCGGCTTTGGCGGCGGGAGTGGCGGCCTCGAGGAGTGGGACGAGGGCGGCGTGGAGCTAGGGGTCCCGGCCTCGCTGCGCTCAGGGGAGCTCCAGCTCCACGAAGCGGTTGCCTCCGGTGTCCCCCGAGAGCTTTGGAGCCGGGAGTGTGTGGGGGCTGAGGTAAAGTGCCCAGTCGCCCCTCTGCTGGTGGCGCGCTGTGCCTGGTGGCCCGAGCTGGGGGCGGGTGGGGGGGGAGCGGACACGGACACGCGAGCTCGGCAGCAGCCTCCGGGAAACCTCAGGAGGCATTGAGCGCCATAACTGTGGCGGCCGTTCCCTTCACAGTCCCCTCCTGGCGCCCCTTCCCGTGCCTGTTCCGTGCTATCAGGGACTCGTGGGGGCCAGACCTCTGGGCTAGAGGGCATGCTCTTTCTACTGCCTGTGGCTGGCTGGTCCTAGCAGCGAGAGGGCGCACCCTGGCTGTTTGAGCCTTGCGGAGCGGGAAGACACCGAGTGTCTGGAGAGGGGAAGACCGGCAGTGTAGGGAGCAACCAGGCACCCCGAGAGGCGAAATGCCAACCTAGCGGGAGCGCGGGCGCTCTGCCGGCCGGTGAACTTTCCTTTCTCCAGTCATTGTTAGGTTGCTGCGAGTGTTCGCAGCCACCAAGCGCCCTGCGGTCCTGGGGGTGGGAAAATCGCCAGGGCTTTGCCAATTACGGGGAGATTTTTCTGCCACCGGGCATGGCACAGTTGTTAACTTTTCTCCAGCTCTCTAGTTCGTTTTATTACCTCCTCTGAGGGGGCCACATTTATTTGTTTAATCCTCCAATCTTTTTCTCCTGCATTTCGGAACAGAACCTTGGCTTTGGTGGAGCCTGGCTTTAAATTACACAGGGCAACCTGTGTTCATTATTTGTCAGGAAGAAAGTGGGGTGGGATGTCGAGTGTCCTTAATGGTGATCACATATCTTAAGAGTTTATCTCTGTGCAGCCCTAGGACATAGGTCGCTTGTAGGGATTTGGCATGAAACTTGTTTGGCTGCTCCATTGGCGTTCTGGGTTGCAAGGAAATCCATGTTCTGAGATGTGTGCAAGGGTCGACCCCCACCCACCTTGTGAGATACACTCATCTCTGAAGCTGAGGACGAGACCCCCACCCTCTACCCTCCTCAGTTTGATTGTATAAGAAATCAAAACCGTGGTGACAGTGTCATAGAGGGAAAGGCGACCTCATTCCCTGCATTGAGTCAGATAAAGATAACTGCTACTCTCCCAACTCTGAAAAATAATGAAAAAAAAGGTAAAAAACTGGTTGCACAACATCGTTGCCTAGTTCATGATAACCAGAATCCACTTTTCCAGACTACTTCTTAAATACCTTGCCTGCAGCCACTTCTTGTCAGCCTGGGGGTTGGAGAATGGGGGTGGGGAGAAGAGCAGAGTCCACTTGAAACAAAGCATTGTGTTTTATTTAGTTTAGTATTTCTGGAACATCTGTAATGGTGGGAACATAGAGCCTGGCCTTTGTACCCTTTGAATAGTGTAGTTCTTACACATTATATGATGACTCTGGATAAATAAAAACAGATTTTTTTCTTTTTTGTTTAACCTTAAGAGTATCCTACTTCGATAATTATCATTTTCTTTTTTATTTAAGGTGAGTTCTGAGTTTAAATGCTTGAATTATTAGAGGATAAACTCTCAGTTCAAGGATTACAGAAGTTGGAAGGTGCTATTCATATTAAGTTGGGGAGCGCCCAGTTCATATTAAGTTCTCAACATCAGGTACCATCATTGCCATTTCTTTCATTTGTGCTCTTCTGTATACTTCTGACACTAGAGAAGAGCTCTTATTCCAATACTGTTGCCTTGAAAGATTTTTTAGCTGGTTAGTTCGGAATAATACAGGTTACAGTGTTCTAATTCCAGAACCCACACTTTATTTCCAATTTTCTGAATCAGACCATGACATTGTGGTATGACTCTTGATCTCAGACAGTTCAAAGTGAAGGAGCCAGGGATGACTTGGAAACAACTTTCAGGCCACTTGTGAACTACTTTCTGGCTTTTAGAGGAGGGCCCCAGGACTATCACAGCTGATGATTCCCAGGCAGTTATCACACCCGAGACATATGAGTTAGTGAAAGCTAAAGTACAAGAATGTTCGAAAACTTACAGGTTTAGTATGGTCATCTACTTTAATAATGCTTGTCTTTTCCCCCTCTTGTGTTCTACCAACCATAACAAATGTTTGTCCTCTAAGCAATACAAAGCTGTCTCTTGTTTATTTACTTTGAGGTCTAGCTGAAACTAATCACATATTTTGGGGGTGGTGAGGAAATCAGGAGACATCAGGTGTTTGTGGAGACGGGACATTAGAGAGCTCTTAGAAGCTTTGATCAGGGATGCAAAGAGGAAGGCTAAAATGAATTTGAATATTATAATAGAACATAATGTACCTACTACCTCTTCATGGAGCTTACAAAAAATAGGAACTGAAGAAGATAGAATTGATATGCTTTCTTATATTAAGATAATCTCTTATCAGGGGATAATTTACTGTGATCTTTGCTTGCCTCACTTTTCTAGATGAGAGGTGGGTGTTGGGTGATATTCATCTGGCACTATCCTAGCCATAATTTTTGGTGTTGAAAATTGAACCTAGAGCCTTGCACATGCTAAGCAAGCATTCTACCACTGAGCTACCTACCACTTACCCTGATACCCTTATAAAATGGGGATATTTGGCTCATCTATAAATTTGAATTGTTCTAGTTATTGTGGCTGAGAAAGATAAAGCATTCTCAGCTTTATAAAGGTTTCCAGGATGGGGAGAATCTAGGATGGATGATTAGATAGGATGATTGAGTAAGAGGGTGCTAGCAGATGATCATTATAGACCAAGTAACTACTGCTTTAAGTTTTCTGTTTTTGTAACTCCCCCATGGTTATTTTTGTGTCCTCTCTGTAGGTCTTTCCATAGACAAGCGAAGCAAGGCTCCTACAATCAAAAGTGCCTCTGTGCTGAGTCTTTGGGAAAAACTTACCTGATCCAATCTGCCAGACTTGGAAAAGGAAAGGTAAAAACTCAAAGTGCTGTTTTTCTGACATGAGGGCATGTCCTTGGAGGTACTGGGGTTCGGGGGGAGTCTGATATGCCCTGAAGAAAAAGGATCTGACAAGGGCTTGAAGTTATACTGGGACTTTGGCCAGTAGGAGGCATCTATGATATCATGAGTACCCTTCAAGCTACAAATTTGTCTGCTCCAACTCAGAAGCCATCACTATGCCCCACTACCAGTAAAGGTCAATTTCTTCTGATACCTGCTAATAAGAGAAAAAAAAAACTAAGCTGGTGTGGGTTTTTTGTTGTTGTTATTTTGAGACAGGGTTTACTGTGTAGCCCAGACTGGCCTTCCAACTCAGGATCCTCCTGCCTCAGCCTCCTGAGCTCTGGGATTACAAGGTGTGGGCTACTGTGTTTGGCTAGAAAGTTGTTTTTGGACTAGCTAACAAGAGAATGTGATATCAGCTTGGCCTATACATCAAACCCTCAGTGTTGAAATCTCCTGGGAAACTTGCTGGTATTATTCTTTTTAGCTTTTGAAAACTTAATTTTGATAAAATATATAATTTTCTGAAATGTTGCAAGATTGGTACAAAGACTCACTATATTTCCTTTATCCAAGGTCACTAGTTATCAGCAGTTTGCTTTCATTTGCTCTTTCTGTTTCTTTTTACAAATCATTTGTGCATAACCATTGGGAGAGTGATACTTGTCAAGGCCATCCTGTCGTGAAGAGTGCCTCAGATGCAACCACTGATATAGCAGAACATTGGTGGTGGGGCAGGGCCCAGAGGTAAAGTCTCCCTGTAGCTACCAGGCATATGTTTGTAAATCAAGTGGAATCTCTGATGCTACATAGAGAAATCATGACCAATTGTAAAAGTATTTAAGACACCCTCTCCCTTTCACTGTTCTTGTGTATTTTCCTATGTCAAATTTTAATACTATGAAAACTTTATGGCCATTAGTATAGTTTCCATTTTATTCATTCAGCAAACATACTGAGTGCTTTCTATTTGCTAGGGGTATAAAAAGAGAAAGATACTCATCCCCTTAAGAGCTTAATGTCCAGTGGAAAGAATTTGAGGAATCTTTTCAACAGTTAGGAGGAGGAATGTTCTGCTGATGGGAACAGAGGCCTGGTTAAGGATCTGAAGAGTAGATATCTGGGAGTCACTTAACTGGATATAACTGTATATATCCATCTTTAAGGCCTTTTGCTCTTAGGTGACAAAGTTCATGAATTAGGGAATCCTTTGAGGTTATACATCCACCACAGGGAGTGGACTCAGGCATACTTGGACTCATATTCTGGCTCTTCCTCTTGATCTTGGCTAGTTTACTTCTCTGTGCCTTGGTTTCTTCATGTGCCAAATCATATCTCTAAGGATGGTAGTGAGAATTTAGTTGAAGTAATATTTGCTCTGTAAACATTTATTTCATCTCCCCTTACCAAAAAAAGATGCTGTATGTTGGGAGTAACATATAAA